AAATCAAAAGCAAAACCAACCCTAAACCAGCCAAATACTAAACCAACCCAATTAGATGGCAAGGGCAAATGCAAATCAATCCAATGCCAACTCTTCATTGTCTGGGTTATTACTCTCTCCAATACTAACACTACTAGCACTACTAATTGGGTTGCTTGGTTGGGGAGAAACACAAACTTCCTCTCTTAGCCATGCTGTCTCCACGCGAGATAAGACATCCTCTAAGGGCAGCACAGACTGACTCAGTATCCGCCCAAGTTCCTCGTTAATCCAACGCGTTCTTTTTTCTTGCTTATCCTCTTGTCTGTTATCTTATTTGTCCTCCTGCTTTTCTTCTTGCTTGTCCTCCTGCTTAGTATCCTGCTTATCATATTGCCCCATCTTTCGCCAGTTATACTGCCCAATTCGTCGCCTAGCCTTTCTCTTTTTCTTCTGCTCATCTGCCATAACCCAATCTCAACTCAATCCCAACTCAATCCCAACTCAACTCAATTTATAGGTTCGGAGAGTGATATCACTTGATGTGCTTTCTGTACAGATAAATTGCTTTTCTGTTTTGAACAAGATGATATGATTGGGTTGGGTTGTGTTGGGTTGGGTTAGGTGTAGTTATCTACCAACCCAATACTAACCTGTGCTATTTTATATACTAGTACTAGTAGTGAATTGGTATTGGGTTGAGTAAGTCAAAATGCAATGTTAACTTAAGTAACTAGTTGCTATGTGTTAGTATTGGGTTAGTAGAGCTATTTGGGTCTTATTTGACCAATTTGATCGATTAAGTTGGTATTTGCTGGTAGAGTTAGAATACGTGTTCTCTGCTTGTATCAATTTAAGTGCCATTTTGTGGCCTTCACTAATCCTACACCATGCCCATCTACTAGTATTAAGTTGAGTTAGGTTAAGTTAGGTTGAGGTGGTGTTAGGTTGAGTTGTGTTAAGGTAGTATTGGAGATTTCGAAGCAGCAGAGACAGAAAGTAATAAAGAGATGCTTTATTGAGGCAGTATAACAACTACTAGTTTAAAATATACACAGACATACTACTAATACCCGCTAAACACCACATCAATCCCAACCCAACCCAACTCAACCTAATAGATAGTCAGTGCTCTGCTCAGATAGACTTTTCTTTAACCCCAATAATACTAACGCCTTGCTTTTATTGGGTGCGCGCTTTTTGCACTTGGGACACCTGACACCCATGGTTATAACGGTTTGTTGTGCGAAGCCCATATACTGCTCTCGTAAGATCATACAGACCCGCCTTATTGGCGCATGGTTCTCTTTGAGATGCGCGGCTTTGATGAGGCTCTTTAGTCTCTCTGTCTCATCATCCCCGACTACTTCTAGTAGTGTCTTGTTTTCTTGCGTTGGTATTACGTAGTATAACTGGCTGTTCCGGATCACAAACCTGCATACTTTCTTTTGGAACCGATACCATTGGGTTTCTGATAGACCGGCTGGTCTACTCGTATCTCCTTGTATATA